GGGGTGTTCAGGAAGGAACCGCTGGGGGCGAGTGGGGAGGGGGTGATGACTGAATATTAGCAGAATCCCCATCTGTATACTGGGATGCTCTATCCCACTTAGCCAGGATTGGCTTTTGGCTTTTACACATCAAAATGGTGCCGAAAAGGGGGAGGGGGAGGAGATGAAATGTGTTTTTTAAAATGCCATTAAAACATGAAAAGCTAGGCCTCATCAGTTTCTTCTTCAGAAAAACGTGAATGTATCTCCCCAACAAAGAAAATGCCCAATAGAAAAAAAAAAGAAAAGGATTGGCTTATGATATCACCCTCCACTCTTCCATCGCACAAACATACATGCACACACAGAGACATGCACACACACACGTGCGCGCTTACACACCCACACACACACACATCTAATGAGGAGTCAGGGTCGAAGCCTGCCTCCGAAAAGATTCACATTAACAAAATACCCCCCCCCCGATTTCCAGCAAATAAAAATGCTCATATTTTAAGTACAGCAAAACTGTTCATACCTCCCCCTAAATTAAAAAAAAAAACAATTCTGTCATGCTCGTGGCCTTTCGTACGGCCTGTAACTAACCTTATACAGCTCTATATTGAATTCGAAAGGCCTGTACTTCACTGAAAAGCACTTTCAATATGATCTCTGAAATTCGTGTTTAGCAGTGGTTTTGCAGTCTATTGAGGGTAGGGGGAGGCAAATGAATACCAAGTATAAACATGTCCAGTTGTGCAATGAGGTACACTGGTGTCTGTGGGGTAGTGGTTAGACTCTAGGTGCTTCGCTGTCGCACGTAGAAGACCTGAATTCAAATCCCATATGGGAAGAATTTGGGTTTGCCCTTACAGGCAGGGTCAAAGCCTGTCTCCTAAATGGTCTAAACTGCGTCGATGTGGCTTAAAAACACTTGTACAAAAAAGTAGCTATGGAACCAATAGGTCAGCTTAAAACATTTCCATTATGCTTCTAGATATGGATGACCTTCAAAATATGACAAACATCAAAAGCTAGGCCTCATATTCACAACTAGCAGTTTAAATAAGTTGGCCATGCCTTTCGAGACCCGCAAAGTGTTCAACTTTTTCAAAACCGGTTATACCTGGGTTCTGGAAACAATCAAATTTTACTAAAGTGCTTCGTCAATGCCGTGTTTGTTGTTGGTAGCTAGATCTTTTACCAAACTCAGCCATTCGTCTAATTGTGCTGCTGTTGTTAATGTTTTGTGGTAGCAATGAAAAGTATGGTGGCAGCAGAGATGTGTGTACAGACGCAATGAAAGCTAAATTTTATTTTTAAGGAAGAAATTGATGGAAT